GCCTCCCTACATCATGAATGCCAGTTTGGAAGGGAGGGGAGGGCTGGGGAAGGTACCTCAACAGGAGACCCCGTAGAAGTTTGTTCCCTGACTTACTCTGGGCAAGTCTGAGCTGCCCATTCTGCAGCTCTCTCTCTCTCTTCCCACCTGCACACAAGCACCTATGAAGAACCTCCTGACTGATTCAATGGGGTTGTCAATGTCAAACCCAGAAACACAAATTTGCAAAGAAGTCTCTTTACTGGAGACAGGAACTGTTTGCAACATGGCCTCCAAGCTGCACAAAGGAACCAGAGAGCTTGATACCTTTTACAGCAAATGTACCCTCAAAGAAGCTTTCCCAAAATCAGTACTGCTAAAGGGTTGTCTGTAACATGATCTCTCTCTCTAAACTGAGGTAGCTCTGTTTGAACTAAACAAAAGTATGTCTCAGACAGCAAGGACTTCAGAAACTGTGGAATTTAATAGCTGTTGCACTGCGGCAGAAAGGAAGAATTCCCACAGCTGAAAAAAAGGACTGGTTGACTAAGAACCCAAAATCCCTATGGTCTCTCAACACAGCACAAGGTGAAGAGCCATTTGCACTGCTCAGGAACCCAGGATGATCCCAATACCTTTAGTGAAAGCATTGGCACAGCACGAGCTCCACGGAAACGACATCAGGGAACATGAACACACCTCTCATGAGTCAAATGGTTTCCAGCGACCTCTCTTTGTTCATCCAGTACTGTACTATTAGATATCTTATCCTGACACACTGCCATGATTTTGAATCTTCTGTTCTCACTCTTTGGGAAAAATCCCTCTGATTCCATTTCCAGAAGTTCACAGAGAAAGTACTGAGTTAAAAGGAAGAGAGGTGGGAGACGTAGGCTGTTAAAGCAGGCCTTGGCAAGTCAGATCCCTGCATTCTGGGTTTAACAAAGCTCGATCCCAAAGTACAAACTGCACAAGCTGAAATCATTAGAGCAAACACAGGGCAGTTACAGGGAACAGCAACAGTCAGGCAAGGACTGATAGGAGTCCTCTAATTCAAGAACTAATTGTTTACACATGAAGGTTCAACTCACACCCTTCATTGTTTCACGGCTCTCAAATATTTCCTGACTTTTATAGAGAACTAATGCAGTGATTTTGGAAACAACCAGTGGAGCCTGTGGTAATGTGTGGTTCAGATGTCGGCACAAATGTGCCTAGAGCAGATGTGGTGTTCCCTCTTTCCAAAGCTAAGAGATGGGCAACATGAGTAAAGTCTGTAAAATCTCCAGTTAGAAGATGTCAAGATCTGCATTTTTATAATTAGGAGAGCTTATTTCAGCCTAAGGGGGACAGATTTTAGAGTAGGCCTTATTTGGATGAGAATGCAACTCGAATGGCGTGGATGGCTTCATGCAAATAAAAATAAGAGATGCAGATACCCTGGTGCCATAAATCAATGCACAGCATCTTTATGTGCTGAGTGGTTGCTATAAATCTCAGCCCAGAATAGGCACCAAAAGTTTTGGGTTGTCACACCACTCCCATGTCACAGACATATTTAAGGAAAGTTTGTTGCTAAGGGATAACTGCTAACAGCATCAGCGAGGGACTATAGTCCTCTCTGTGTCACAGACCAACATGAGAGCATTCTGGTACACACCCAGAGGTTGGTGGAAATTCATTATTATTTCCTTTCCAGGCTCACAGCAGCACCTGGAAAAGCAGCCCTGGATCCAGTGCAAGTGCACAGGAATGACTGCCAACAGCTGCTCAAGAAGGGAAGTTCAGTCTGTTAAACCCTGTGAGCTATTTGGGGCATTCTGCTGCTCTGAAGACAGCCTGAGGGTAGTGATGTGGTTATTGCAGGAACAGGAGGGTACAGAGCCACGTGTGCTGGGAACAGGACGAGGGGGCTGTAAAGGACAGGGATAATTCTTGGGCAGAGCAGAAGGGAGACCGCAACTGCCTCACCTCTGCCAAGTTGGCTCAGCAGAGAAATAAAAGAGCTTGTCTTCACTAATAAAAGCTCAAGGAGCAAGCCTAACCAGACAGGCTGGCAGCAGTACCTGTATTTCACATCAAACACTGTTGAGTCTTCGTCCTCGTCATCTTCTTCATTCAGAGGAGCCATTTCTACCCTCTCGGCTGGAGTGGTGATTATGTCATACTTCCTGGTCTTCTTAATCCTCTTGCCAGACCTGAAACACAGAGATGGGAAGGGAAGGATCATCTTTATACAGTATTCCTTGGAGAGGCTGAAGCTGTTCCCACCAACTCTGAATCACTGCCCTGTTTGGTTCAGACTCCCCAGACACGAAGTCAGCAGAATCAGCCTCCATCCCCTCCTGCTGCTTTTCCAAGGCCACCGTTTGTGCCCGTCTGTGGAGCACAGTTTCTCGTCAACTGCAATCCAGATCAACGTCAAGTCTTCCAGCTGCTGACAAACCAGAATCGTCTGGCACCCAGGGCAGCCCACCACGTCCTCCTGCTGCCACACTCAGTAAGTGAGACATGAGCTTAATCAGCTGAAGCAGCCCATGGTTTAGTGAATGTGTTTGGACGAGAAAGGCCAGGTTAAGCCCTGCTGAGCCACAGGAATGTTCTAGGCAGGATTAGAAGCAAAGGGGTGGTGATGTCTGGGTACAAGCAGCCTGCTGTATTTCTTGCTATCAGGCCAAGCTCAGGATTCCCCCAGCAACAACCTTGAGTCTGATCTGAGCAGTTTCAGGCTCCATGCTGTGCAGGTGCTATAAAAAATAATCAATATCATTCAAAGCTAACAGCACCTACCACCTCTCCTCCAACAGATGCCAGGCTTACTTTCCTTTTGAAATGGAGATGTTCACACACCTGCACATCCCACAGTTTCGAGAGATCTACTTTCTAAGACTTTCAATTAACAAACACTTGGTGTGTGGCTTTTCAAGTAATTCCCTGCCTCTAGCTTGAATTCTGCAGGTTCCTTTTTATTTCACCTACTGTTTTCATGAATATTAGGAAGGTCACACTGCTTATGCATGAATTTAGTTTTGTAATTACATATTCAAGAAGGTGTTGATGTGTACGGCCAGCCTTTGGGGAAAAAGAGTGGATGGCTTCGGTGAACAAACTGCAGAATTTTTCCCTTTGCCTTTTATAAAACAAAACTGGTACCTGCCAAGCATGAGAAGGGAGCTGGTGCAGGCACAAGCAAGCAACCTCTAATTTTTGGTAATCACAGCTAGTGCTTCGAGCAGTCAGCACATCACGAGTGCACTTTCACCAGCAAGAAGTCTTGCCCTGGCACGTCATGCAAGGTGTGCTGGATTCAACAGCACTGTTTTTGCCTCGAGATGCCTTTAAAAACGTTACACATCAGCAGGAACCGAGGTGTGAGCGTTGCAGAGAGCCTGGGACTCCAGCCCTCTGTGTGCATCTCCACCATTACGGTCCCTTCCAGGCTTAAAGTTAAGGAAATTTAATTCAATGACCTGCTCCGATGTGGAAATCTCAGTGCCTCCGCCTAGCACCGCTTTTAGGTAGTAGTCCAAAGCTGAATAAACAGGTTCCAGCCCTTGGGATGGAGCAGTTTGCATTAACTCCCTGTTTTGAAGGCTAAGGTTGCATCAGAAGTGAGGAGAAAGTCGTCTCCTGTCTAATCTTTAGAGCAATCTGTGCCGCTGTGTCACGCAGAGCACGGGGTGGTTTGTTCTTTTCCTGCTCTTGTTGAAACAAGCAATTTTATATCCAGTGCAGTAGGACTCTTAACCCAAACACTTGAAAATCCTTTTGAAACCACTTCTCTGTTATTTTGCTTCTCTGCTAAAACCTAGCACTAAAGTGAAGCAGGGAGGTCTCATCGAGCAAGTAAATGCATTGTTTTTACAAGAAATATTTACTCATGCTGTGAAGCCTAAACAGAGACAAAACTAACCTGTGTCTACCTGTCAGAACTAACCAAGCACAGCCTTACCACTCTGAGTTCACCTGCAGTTTGCAGGGGGTTTCCACAGGTTCCATTTAAGATCCTACCTGCACATCAGGCCCACTTTACTGAGAGCCATCCTCCCTCATTCCCTCAATTAAAAAACATAACTTATTCCACAGAGTTCATCTTAGAATAGTTAATAATTGAATGTTTGAAGAAATTACTGCAGAATAGGTATTTTTAGAAATGGGAAACTAGAACCCTTTTGCTTCCAGCCATTAATTAGTCTATCTGGGCTACACTTTCAAGAGGACCTGGAGCAGAACTCTGCACAGTGATCTATTAATCCCTGCAACCCTCACTTAACCACAGTGCTCATTTAGGAAAGGCAGAAACCTTGTTTTGCTGCTGGTTTTTGGCTAAGCTGCTACAATCAGTTGTCTGCCACTGATAAGGCAAAAAGGTCTTTCCTCGCCACCCCTTTCTCAATTCATTCCACACCAGATTTCCTAGCTAATTTGTCATTAATCTACTTTCCCATTGCCTGTTTTCTCACATTTGCTCATTTGAACAACTCCCCCAGGCTTCATAAATATTAGAAGAATTACCCAAGCTAACTTTGCAGGAAAGCCTCAGGAGTATGCCTACATGCACACAAAATAAGGCTAGCCATCAGGAAACTGTTTCACATTAAAACTCCTGAAACCTCAGTGGGATCCCTGTAACCATCAGCCATGACAACCCAAAAAGGAAAAGCACTTTATCCAGCAGGCTGGACCAGGCAGCAGAGTCAGCGGAGCAGCACAAGGCAGGAACTACAGAATACAAATGTTTCATGAACTTTGGAGACCTCCTGGATAGGATCAGGACACATCAGGCCTCATGGGCAAACAGAGGATCTCCTTTTCAGCCAGGTTCATTTTATGGGGCCTTTTTTGAAGCAAACAAGAAGCATACTGGAAGCTGCATGGTCAGAGTGTGTCCCTTGCAAAATGACAAGCTGAAACACTCCCCAAGTGGTTTAGCCAGGGCAGGAGTGGTGCTGGGTAGTTCAGTGCAGAAAATCATCTTCCACTTTGAAAGATCCTGTTGCTTCTGATGACTTCAGCCACTCCCTGTAATTAGGAGGGGATGCTACGGGTCTTGTCCCGAATTACCATGAGGAAGAACAAAAAAAACCCAAGTTAACTGTGGCCAGGGATATTAATCTTTCACTGCAGACCCAGTGCTGCTCCCAGCAAACCAACTCACTGGTGTTGACAGAAGGCAGCCCTGGTGAGCACAACGCTTGGGAGAAGCTGCAGTGGCACTGGGCTCGGATGCCTGAGGCACCACACCAGGACCTACCTGGTCCATCACCACGTAGAGTGCAGGGAGGGACAACATGCGGGGCTGGGCTGGAGCAGAACACTGACTTTGTGTCTGTATTTTGCCCTGGGGCTATTTTGATCAAGCCCCAGTCATATGCAGCACTTCATCCTCCTTTCTGAGGCATCATGTGGTGGGTAACTGCTCGAGTCAACTCCCTAGTTCATTATATTATTTACGCCTCTAATCTATTTTAGTCAACAACACTGACATTCAAAGATAATGCTTTTCCTGACCTAGAGAGAGAGGTCTCTGCATTTCTTGACTTGTATTAACACTTCCTGCTAAGAGATGTAGTGGGAGGGGACCTTTCCCTGGAATAAAAAGAAAACTAAAAAAAAAACACCCATCCCTTCTTAGCAGGGTGCTTACTGGAAGTCTGATTAAGCCAGTTCCTCCTAGAACTGCAGCAATGTTATACCAGGAATGGAATTAGGACCAGTTTATTTGCTGTTAATGGACTCTTTTAGCAGTTAAAAAAAAATAGAAATATAAACCTCAAGAAACTGCAGACTTAATACTAGCTGATGAATTAGATCAGCGATATTTCATTACTGTTGATCTGTCTGGGTATCTCTGCTCTCTGGATGGTGCTGTACACAGCAAAGTCACACCAAGATGCCAAGTCCTCACATGTTTTCTGGAGATAGGACAAGGGGGAATGACCATAAACTGAAAGAAAGCAGGTTTAAATTATATATTAGGGAGAAATTCTTTACTGTGAGGGTGGTGAGGCACTGGCACAGTGAGGCTGCCAAGAGAAAATGTGGATGCCCCATCCCTGGAAGTGTTCAAGGATGGTGCAACCTGTTCTCGTGGAAGGTGTCCCTCCCTATGGCAGGGGGTTGGAATGAGATGATCTTTAAGGTCCCTTCCAACCCAAACCATACCATGATTTTAGGAGATACACTTCGCCGCAGAAACTGCCGTGTTTTCTAACAATCAAGTTCTTTAGATGGAATATATGCAGGCACAAAGAGCAGAAGTTTCTCCTTGCTTAACTGTGCCACTAATAGGAGGCAGATCAGAGGTGGATCAGAGACTAGTACTGGGAACAACTTCAGGAACACCTAAATGGGATATTGTTGTGGTTCAGCGAGGCAGTGATGTCTGTAAGCATTTAACATACACCCACTCACATGCGGTGGTCAGTACCAGTGCCAGCACCTACTTCCAAACACTACAGCACAGTCAGACCAATATTGTCTGAGAAGTGCTTGAGAAGTACTCTTGTTTTATAGGCCAGAGCTTTGAGAAATATCCTTGTTTTATAGGGCAGAGCTATAGAAACTTCTATGATCTGCCCAAACTCTTCAAGGCAGTGAACCCCACAAGAAGAAACAACATTCATCCTGTTGAGACTGTTCACATCAGAGCTGTAAAGAGTCCAATACAAGACAGCAATCCCCTCTCTCCTCCTTCTGCTAATCTCCTGTCACACTCACATCAAGACAATCCAGTTTTCCCTTCTGTCATTCTTTGTGGCCATAACTACTACCTGCAGCTTAAATGAAGTTTTCAATGTGGGTCAAAAACGTGTTTTGGGCTTGGATATTTGGCTGTTCTGGGTTTCTTTCTTTTCCATTTAATATAATTTAATCTGAGGGGTTTTTCCCTGTTCCTGGCAGAAATCTTGTCTTTGCTGGAGTACTCTACCTGGTTATAATACAATTAATTTTACATCAGTCAAAGTCTCTGGGGTTAAGACTTGGATTGCCCAAAGCAATAGCCCAGTTCATAGAACAAAGGGTCATGTATCCTATGATCATATGCTTGAACCTCTCTCCTCAATGTCAGTCATTTATACCAGTTTTGCAACTACTGGAAAACTAAGCTAAAAATGGTATTTGAGGAAGAAATACAAATTGAACATGAAGCAATGAAACAAAGCAATGAGATACAAAATAAAAAGGTAGCTTCTTTCTAAAAATCTAGATAAATAGCAGCCTTTCCAGCCTGGGTTCTGCTCGTTCAAGGGCAGCTCAAGACATGAAGCAAACTCTTAGAGCACAGAGTTTTCTGCAATGAAAGCTTTGGGTTGCTTTCAGCTGGTCCACTGGAGCAAAAGTAACTTATCCAGTTTCCCTAGAAGGCACATGGTCTACCAGCACACTTAACCACATCTGAAAAATTCTGTTTCCTGTGAGCTGATCCCAAGAATTGTATTGCAGTGGAATGAACTGAGCTGCACCAAGAGATAGAAACAGGGCAAAATATGAGTGTAAAAAAGGCAAAACCCAAAACACAGCTCAAAGAGCAAATTTAGCCACCCATCATCTGTTGCAAGACATTGTGTTTCTTGGTAATGCTAACTACTCAACTATTTGATTGAGAATAACATAAAATTTGGTCTGTTGTGGAAATGGTTTTGGGTTGGGAGCATGCAGAGCCCACGGGTATAGGAAAGAAAGCAAACCCAGAACTGAGCTTGCAAAAAAGAATAAATAAATAAATACTACAGCAATTTAGGCCTTGCCACATGCAGACAAACAGCAAAGTCTTGGCTGGCCTTCACAGACCCCTTTGGGTGACACCACATTCTGAACCACAGGACCATCAGATGAATTCAGAGCATAACATTCACAAAAGAAATGAAGAGGAATCTCTGAGTGTTGTCTTAAGAACAGAGCTGAAAATCAGAGAAATATATCTATCCCTGCTCAAACAAAAAAGGAAAATAATATAAACAGAAAAATATATAAAAATTAAATGTATATTAAAAATAAAATGTATAAAAAAATTAATCCAATGCCTGTGACAAGAGTATCTGGCCACTCACTAGTTAATTTCATTTTTACAGCCCATATCTAAAAGGATAATTTACTCCAAGCAACCCAGAACAATTTCACAGTGAAGGTTTAATCAAAGATTGGATTTCAGCAAAATCTCTTTAATAGGAATCCATGACACTTCAGAAAAAAATCACAATGTTTTTGACTAAGTGTGAACAAAGCTCTTATTCTGATGGAGAAAAGCTTTACATTTATTGAGGGTAAATCCCTTATCTCTTCTGCACCAGAATCTCCTGTGATCTATGTTGTCAGCTACAAGTGTGACACTGTACAGACATACCTGTTGGTATTCTGGTCTCATTTGCAACTGGGATAAGTGTTTACAAAATAAAGAAAATGAATGTTTGCAAAATATTCAGCAGCCAAAAAGCTTCACCTTCCACTTTTCCTAGCAGGTTCTACTAAAGATTTATAAGAGATCTGGGGTTGGGGGGGCAGGTATGTGTGTTTATTTTAATGTATCCTTAATGCTGCCTTTACTCTGATCAGTTGTATAATGACAACTTTGGCATGGGAGAACTAATCCACTATTCCCAAGGTGACTTTAACCTGGACCTGTTTTTGCTGATTATGGTATAGGGAAGGCCTTTAAAGGCTATCAGTTTGCCTTCTTTGGTTAGAAACATTCTGCCTTATGCCAGTTCTCCTTGACACAAGATCTTGCTTTTTACCCAGGAGAAACTATGGCAGAGGAAATAAAGTCTCCAAGAGCAGACAGAACTAGGACTAGAAACTTAGACTTTTCGTTCTACTCTTAGTTATAGACTTCCTAATTCTAGCTCATATACCCACTATCAATTCTGCTGTTTGTCCACGACAATTTTATACAGCTGCAAAGTGGTTATACTGATTAAAAAAAAATCTCTTCAATACTTTATTGGGCTCTCCCAAACCACCTCACTTTAATGAGCACATTTATTTGCATTGCCTTCTGCCAGCTGCTGCAACGCTTAAGTAGAATTTAGTTAAATGTCAATTTCCTTGGAAAATATCAGTTCTGATCATTTCAGTTTATAGACCCCACTTTGTAATACTACTGTTATGAATGCTGCCCTTCCTACACAGAATTAATTCTGAAGCAGGAGAAGCAGAGCATTCAGCCATCCTGTAAATACAAAGGAGCTGCCTGAAGACAGAACAAGGAAGAATTTGCCAACTCCACTTGTTCAACTGCTCCTGTCACCTGAGACGTGGCCTGGCCTCCACCCTGTGCTGAGTGCCAGCTGTTCCCCTCTCCCGGCTCTTCCCGAGTGTCCCTGCCCTGCAGTCGGACGCTGAGCTGAGATAGTTTGCCATCTGGACCTGGATCTCCAGCTGGGCTTTGGGTGTCTCCATGGACGGACACCCCAAGGCTCCTTGGGCCTCAAATCCCAGCGACCCACTGACTACAACCCCACGAATTCCCAGATGTTCCCATGGAGTTCCATGTAATATCTTCCACGCCCACTCCACTCCCCCGGCCACCATGCAGTGAGTGAATCCCACGCTGGAAAAGCCCACTTGGAACCCAACTCCTGCCCTAATTTCCTGCAGAAGCGGGAGGAAGGCGGAGCAAGATTTGCCAGGCCCCGGCAGCCCCCTGAGACTTCCCCAAGGGGCTCCTGAGCCACCCACACACGCTGTGCTCGAGGCCGGGCTTTAAAACTATTATTATGGGCAGGTCAATGCTTACTATTATATAACACATAATTATATATATAATTTTAATATATATATATATATAGAGAGAGAGAGATAACAATAAAATAATAAAATAAACCGGGAGGGGTTGCACCCCTTCTCCCGGAGCCCCAAAGCCGTCCCAGCCCCGCCGTGTCTCGGGCCGTGCCCCCGCAGCCCCGGGCGGCCCCGGTACCTGAAGACGCGGAGCAGGAGGCAGGCGATGAGCGCGGCCGTGAGCGCGCAGGCCCCGATGACGGCGGCTTTGAGCGCGGAGAGGTCCCGCAGCATCGCGGGCACGGGGCTGAGCCGGGCCCCGCTGTGGTTGCCCGGGGCCGGCGCGGCGGGCGGGCGGCTGCCGTTCCCGGCCGGGGGCTCCAAGCTGCCGCGGGCGGCGGGCGCGGCCGGGAGGAGCAGCGGCAGCAGCAGCGAAGCCGCCAGCAGCGGCAGCGGGGCGGCGGCGGCGGCGGGGCGCATCCTGCCCGCTCCGGCTCCGGCTGCTCCGGCTGCTTCGGCCCCGCCGAGCCCCGGAAGGCAGCGCCGGCCGGCCCGGCCCCCGCCCCCCGAGAGGCGCCGCCTCCCGCCGCCGGGGCCCCGAGCCGGGGAGAGTCGGGGAGGCCGGAGCGTCCGCCCCCGGAGCCTCCCGCAGCCCCAGCGGGTTCCTCCTGCCCCGCGGACTCTTCTGCAGCCCCAGCGGGTTCCGAGCGCCCCGCCGCTGCCTCGGCCATCACGACCATCTCTTGTTAGAGAGAGTCCAGAGGGGGCTGCGAGGATGGTGAAGGGTCTGAGGGGCCGTATGAGGAGCGGCTGAGGACGCTTTGTTGCTCAGCTTGGAGAAGAGGAGGCCTAGGGGAAACCTCATCGGGATCTGCAGCTTCCTCACGAGGGGCAGCACCATCTCTCCTTTCTGTGACTCTGTGACATCTCTCAGTGACAGGACTCGAGGGAACGGCTGGAGCTGTGTCAGGGGAGGGTTAGGTTGGATATTAGGAAAAGGTTCTTCCCCCAGAGGGTGATCGGCACTGGAATAGGCTCCCAAGTGCAGTGGTCACAGCCCCAAGGCTGACAGAGCTCAAGGAGCATTTGGACAATGCTCTCAGACACATGGTAGGATTGTTGGGGTTGTGCTGTGCAGGGCCCGGAGCTGGATTTCGCTGATCCGTGTGGGTCCCTTCCAACTCAGGATATTCTGTGGCCACTCTTAATTGCAACACACATCTGCCCAGCTGTAAAATGATGACAGAGTTCACACTGCCATCAAACAGGGCACAAACCTCCTGAGCTGCTGGGTCAGCATGGCCCAGCTGCTACATCAACAATTCCTGCATCAGATTTATGTCCTTTTGCCTTTCCGCTGGTCACCAAGGCTCTGCTTACAGGTTAATTTGTTTACTGATATTTCACATCTTTAAAATTGTAAGATACATGGAAATCTCAACCAGAGTTCTGCAAACCATCCCAGGTGCACCAAGCATATGAGTGGTGCCATCAGCCAAGCCTGACAGGGAGAATAAACTATGGAATTATAGAACATCCTGAGCTGGGAGGGACCCACAAGGATCACTGAAGTCCAATTCCTGGGCCATGATACTGCCAAGATACAACTTACTTTTGCTCTCTATGTTCAGTATTAGCATGAGCTGCTAAATAATTGTGTGTGGAGAGAGGGGCACGTTGGCACTGAAATCAAGTGAAACAAAGAGAGGGAAAGATGAAAAAGCTGATTTCCTTCCAATTAAACTTTGTACGTCAGGGTTGGCATGGCAGAGTATAGCATATAGGAACGTGTGACTAAGCCGTGCAAAATATGACAGAGATGTATTCCTGCTGGCAGTGTCCCACTGGAGAGGTAGCAGGGAAATAGTGCATGGTTCATTGGCCTTCTGAGCCAATTGGGATGCTGTATCAAACGCCACCCACTTGGTAATAAAAGCATCCTGTGTGTTTTGCAGGAAGCTCTTTGGAATTAGGAAATTTTGACATGGACACTGTGCAGAAGGCCCCCTTAGGCTGCCTGAATTGGGCATTGTTCTGGCTTTATTTCGTTGCTGGCTTTTGTGCAGTTTCCCAGTTTCCAACATGGGGCTTCACTTTGGTTTTTCAGAAAAAAAAAAATGTTAAAAGAAAAATCCATCTGGGCAGGAGGTTGGGTTGGCGATGTGGGCTATTTCCCAAACACTGGTGTGAGGCTGTCACATGAGTTATTTGTAAACACTGACCCTGATGCTGGCCCTGCCTGTTCTGAGCTGTTTGTCAGCTGCTGCCCGGCCTCTGTCAGATCCCTCTGGCAGAGCAGTGCTTCCCCATAGGATGAGGGAAGATATGTAAAGGACTTCTCAAACAAGAACCACCTCCTACAGTTTTAGTGAAGGTGTTGGAGGTGAAGAGCCATTAACGTGACGGTTTTGGAAAGCATAATTTGTTTCAAGTGGCTTCAAGGTTTTTCGTTTTGGTTTGGTTTCGTTTTGTTTTTTGTGGGTTTATTTTTCTTTTCCTCAGATGCTTTACTGATATTTCACATGTCATTCGCCTAATTTGGGAATCATTCCTGGGTTCTGGTCTGGAATGTGGGATTTCGCAACTCTGTTCTTCAATGACATCATGTGGTTTGTACTGAACACAGCAGTAATAAATGAGAGCAAAGGGAGTTTACCAGCCTGTCTACAATAAACATTTTATCTGAATAGTCATCTTTTGGGCATCTGAACTAATTTGTGTGGATTAGATTTCACCTAGTAAGACATGCTTTCCATGTATATAGGACAAAGGGTCCCACTTGGATAACAAGGAAGCTACATCTTGGTTTCATCTCCCCCTTACCAGTGGTGGCTGTGAAAGCCAGAGTTCCCGAGAGCTTTGGTAGAAAAACACGACTTTGAGAAGTCAAGAGGAAATTCAGTCAGGGAAAAATGCAGAAAGTATTTGGTTTCAGTTCCAGTGAAATCTTGTGTTTCATTCCTGACACCAACACGCACCTGGAGGAGAAGGTGGATCTCAGGGGTGGGAGTTGGTGTCGCTTTTCTCCTTGGGAGTTGGTGTAGCTTTTCTCCTTGCTGAGCTTTCTTCCTGCTTACACCTGTTCGGTGTCATTATAAGTTGGAGCTCTCATGAGCAATTGCACTTTCTGTAGAAGAGTCCAGTACTGGCTAAATAGGAGGAGTGAGCATGTTTCTGTGTGCAATTGCTTCTGGGAATGGCAGATATCTGTATTTATGGATGCCTGTTACAGGAGTATCCCCATTTGTGAGGAAGGCTCTTCATGCACTGCTTAGCAATTCATGTGGAGTTCAAGATGACCCTTCCTTTGTGCTCTCAGATGGCCTCCAGGCAGCACCCAGATGTATTTTTAGCTCTCAGAATAGGGGAAAATTTGCAAGAAATGGTGCAGAGAAGAAATAAGCAAAAGAGTTGAAGCTGGCTCAGTCGTCGGATTTAGGCAAGCTGGATTTGCAGGAAGAAATAAGTGTTTCTGTGAGAGAAATGAAATGTGTACAAAATGAGGCAAACTACCTTCCCAAGGATTTGCTGCAGAAGTAATACACCTTCTGGACAAAGACCAGAGTCAAGTAAGGAAGGAAATAAAGTGGAACTTGTAAGGGATCAGTGCTCCATGAGCACACCTCTCACATCTCAAAACCAAAAACCCAGGGAGAGATATAAATTTAAGAAGCGACCAGGTCTGCATTGGAGAGTGTTTGAGCTGAGATGTCAGACAAGAGAGCACAGAGTAATTGCAAGATTTAATCATTCTTCCGGTGACTATCGATAGATAACCTCAACCAACAGTGCAGTAAAACTGCAATGCCTCATCTATCACGAGTGGTCTGAGGGCTGCAGAGATGTCCTATTGCTAATTAAAGACCAGCGATGTAGAGCAAGCAGGAGCTTCAGATATACTTGGACAAGGCTTTGCACATTCCTAGTTAGCATGTTACATTAGCCTGTAATTCCTATAACCCTCTAAAGCATTTATGGCTTTTTACAGACATTAAAAGCCAGTGTTACTGCTGAAAAAGGCTTGTAATTGAAGTCTATGATAAGCAGCAGATTCCTTTTAAACGAGGTTGGTGCAGTCATTAAGCTGGGGTGCAGAGATTATCTCGTGAACAGGTTCTACAATATTGCTAATACACACAGCGTTGCAGTGTAGCAGTTAATCTGAAAAAAAAAAAAAAACAGGAAAAGGAAGGACAGCAGTAAACCACAAATCTTTGTTTAGTTTGGATAACAATAATCAAAGAACACAAAAGCCGATTATGACTTTGCCTCCCACTGCTTTGTGCCTATTCATGCAGCCTGTCCTGGCTGCTCCACTGAAGTGCAACCTGAAGGAAGCTAACAAATACTTCATGTCTTTCTTTTTTTTTTTTTTTTTAAGTAATTTGCAGATGATGTCCTTAGACTGTTTTTCTTCGTCTTAGCTGCATGAAATAAACTCATCAGGGTGGTAACGGCTAATCTTGCAGCCTCAAATGGCATTAGAGGCTTATGATGATGCTAAAGTGACTGCCAAGTAGCTGGATTCCATCCAGAATTGCAAGTGACCTGGATATGACATAAAGAGAATTGGATTTAACCCCTGTATGCACTATTTCCTGGTCCAGCTGAACCATTGTCAGACATGGCACTTATTTTGTCATTGCAGGAAAATACGTCAGATCAGCTCAAAGGAGAAATATCTGTGCTGTAATAGTGTTTCTCATCCATCAGTGCCTACTTACCTATGTCTTAGGCCTGCACAGCTATAAGAAGCAGAGAATCCACTTGAGCCCTTGCAGGATGCTGCACTAACACATCGTGGTCGTTGCCACTGGGAAAGCAACTCCAGGATGTCTACACACCCTTCATCACACAGACATCCCTCTGGACTGTGCAGCTGGAATCCAATGAAGGTCACAGAAGTGCTGTGTCACCTACCTGTCCATGCCAAGGTGGAGCACCTCACCCTGGCAGGTGCATCTGGAGAGGTTATGAACTCTCCCCATCCTGCGCTGTGGGTTGGACCTCTGGTCCTGGTGCACTTCTGTAAAGCATGAACCACCTCAAAGGGTTACAGATAAGTGAGTTGTTGAGAGACACACACCTGGCCAAACATCTGTTGGCAGTTCCTAGGAATCCTAACACCCAACAGAGCAGGGACAAGGCAAACTGCCTCCTGGCTCTCTGACACATTCCCCTTTAAGCAGCAGCAGACTGTAATTCTGGTTTAACTGAGCAATGCCTGTAACTGTCATCCCAGCACTGGCTTTTTCCCTGGAATGACAATGATCTTGAGTTGCCTGGAATAAGTCTCCATGTGGTGCAGCTCCCCTGGAAGCTGTGAGATTAAATCCTTGTGGCATCTTGTTACAGGGATCAGCGGATAGAGGATTATAGATGTGCAAGTGGCACCCACTCTCTGGGGAAAGTAGGGAAACATCTGTTAACATGTGTGACCAGGCTTCCAAATCCCCAGTGTGAACCAGACCTAAGACTTTTTCATGGCAAGATGGATATTAGGAAAAGGTGTGCCGACAGGGGAAAATCTGTGAGCTCTTGCTACAGTTTGTTGCTTTCTAAAAGGGCTGAACTTTGTGGTTTCTTAGTGGAGTTTTTGTTTGGTTGTTTTTGTTGGGATTTCTAGAGAAGGATTTTTCTGGTTTCATTTTAGCAATGTGAAGCCTTATCTTTGTGTGACCAGGGGGTCTTTAAGAATGAGTGGAGAAACAGTAGGATTATGACCTTAGCA